CAGCACTATACCTTTAAAATTTTTTCTACCTTGGGCTTTAGCTGGGAGAATATGGTTTAATTTAACAGTAAAAGAATAGATTATGTAAGTTAAAGATAAAATTAGTAATTTATTTTATTTAAACAGCACGATACCTTTAAGATTTTCTCGACCTCGGGCTTCAGCTGGAAGAATATAGACGAATATAGTCAAGATACAGTAGTAAAACAAGTGAATTATTGAGAACTTCATTATGTTCTTGTTGGTTAAAAAAGAATGCGAAGTATTCAAAAAAAAACGCGGTTTTGGAAAAAAATTTTGTCTTTTATAATGAATTTTGTTATATATATTTATTCAAAATGCAAGAAATTAAATTTATGTTGTCCAAATACTTTAAATGCACACTCTCTAATGCACACATTATATATATGCATGACATAGGTTAGTTCCGGTCTATAATAGCATTATATTTTTTTTCTCTTTATAAATGCACACTACTACAAGTACGATATATATTAAATTTTATATCAATCGTTATATGAGACCTTTGCAGTAGAAAGGGCCCAAAAGCATTTTAATTTTTAAATAATTAGAGTTAAAAATTAAAATGCAGTTTGGGCCCTTTCTACTGCAAAGGCCTCATATTAGTATCTGATATATTATTTACGCTTTATTTATAACTTTAGACAGAATGACATTATGAGAGTGGTATTGAAAACATACCTCTTTCTTAAAAAATAATAATGAGTATATGGGACTAAAAAAGCTCTTTATTGAGTGTTTCGTTTGTTATTTTCGCGTAACTTAATAATTGAGCAAATGTTACACTTGCAGTGTTATTTCGATTTGTATGGTTTTTGAAATGATTCACATGTGCGTATTCTAAATAGCGCAGACGGGTAAACAGTAATTAATATTACATGCGTGTATCTGCATAATTTACAAATAACTGATAAAGCATTAAGGAAATTTCGATCCAACATAAACATACATATTTTACTCTATAAACGCACACCTCTAAATGCAGCTTTGTATTTTTTATGCTACTAAGGAGTGAACTTAGGGAGGTGTACTGTATATTAAATACATAAAAAATAATTATAAAATCATTTGAGTTCTATATACTTTGCTACAATTTTATTTTCTAAACTTCAAATTTCACAATCGTTTATCACCCAATACGCATCATGAGTAGTCAATTGAAAACGGCCTATGTTCTTATCCTTATTCTCTTTATAGCAACCTTGAATGTTAAAGCATTCTATGATAAAAAACCTCATAAAGAAAACAAAACTTGTACTCCTCCTACTCCTATCCCTGAGGATGCTTGTTGTAGTGAAGGAGGAAATGGGAGAAGTTATGAATGGGCCGTTTCATTAAATTACAAACTTATTGACAATGTAACTGATCCTGAAACTTGTTGTAGAGCTTGTTATAAGGATCCTGAATGTTTTTCATGGCAATTTCAGCCTGATTGCTATATATACTTTAATGCAACTGAAGATTGTTTATATCCAAGCTATAACACTGCGAATGATTCGCAGGGTACTATTCGTTGCGGTTTTTGTAAAGCATAGACTTTTCATTTTTATTTAAGATATAGTCAGACCTCTCTAAATGCCAATATGTATTTAGAGAGAGGTATTGCATTGTAGACAAATATAATCTTGGACAAATTTTTTTTGATTTTTGAATAAATAAAAAAGTTTACTGGCGAATTTCATTTTTTCTCTTAAGTCTCGTTATCAATAATATGACAGGGTGAAACCCGCGACAGAAACCCACGAAAGTGGTTACGTTATTGATGCAGATCACTATCTAAAACAGTAACTGACCTAACTACGTACATCCAAAACAATTCATATAGCATCTTGGGTGTGAGCAATCATCGTTGTGACAAATAAGTATTTAGTATATGATTTATTTAGCAGATATTTATTTGTCACGCCAATAATTGCCCCAGCGAAATGAACTATAACATATCAATAGACTTGAATTTGTTGACACAAGTAATACATAAAATTTTACTTATTAACTAGCCATTATTTAATAATGCTTGTACAGTATATAAAGAATGCTAACAATTACTATTTTTAATGGGACATTTTGGAGCATAATGGCCAGTTTTATGGCACAATCCACATTTTACGACCACCAACAGTGTTGTTTGCATTACTATTATCAATCTTATGGTTATTTTCTTTTTGATTACTTACTGCACTTATACATGGGTGCCTAAATAGCCCATCTTAATAAAAAAGTAATTACGGCATTTAGGCAGCCGAAATTATTCTTATATAATGCCGAAATTAATTTTCATATTTTCCGAAATTATTGCCAAAATTTTTTGAACTCCTTTCATCAAAATACATCATATAATATAGTTATTTTGAAGAGGTTTATATAAAAAATTTAGCAATGCCGAAATGTTTGCCGAAATACGATTTTTTATAAATAATTTAGGCACCCATGTATAACTGCACTTTTTTCATTATAAGCTTTTAATTATTTGTTTGGATGTCTATCTTTACCTATGTGTTTCAATAGATCTTTAACATTATTAGCATCAAGTACACGACCATTAGATTATTTAATTTCACAGTTTGAATTAATATTTTCTCTTAAGATTTCACATTTTGATTGCATATTTGTCTGCTAGCTTTTTTCTTTTTCTGAAATAAAAGACAATATGAGATTATCAAAAGCATTTTAATTATTACTTTCCATTGAATAATGCAGCACTTTTTTGAAATGTCCCATAAGTTGATCATAATATAGTTTTTTATGCATATGTTGGTAAACATAAACTTATTAAACATTATTATAATATTTAGGAATTGGATAAGTTCTCTGTAAAATATTAGTAATAATAATATCCTGATCTGTTGGGTATTAGCGGGGCTGAAAGTCCCGCTAATTCACATACGGTCAGGGTATTATTAATTAATACTCCCGTGATCTTGAATAGTGATCGGGGTATTATTATAGGAATTGTTTAAATATTTAGATGATACTCCAATAAAAGGTTTGTTAGAAGCCAATTTAACTTTATTCTAAATATTGCCTTAAAACTATTGTATTGGCATCAATATTACATGAAATAATGCATTTGAATTTTTTACTATTAGTTTAAAGTAATGCTAACAGATAGCAAACATGTATATAAATGCATTTCATCTTTAAGAAGAATAATATGTTGATATGAACTTGTAGCCACATAAAGAAAAATTCACTATACTTCTTGAATTGATTTTTTTTGAAACTAAGTTTATTAATATTTTTAAATTTGTTTGTTAATGATTATAATGGTCTTCAATATTTATGATATATTTATTGTTTTGATTATTTACTAATAGTATCTCATCCTAAATTCATAAAATATAATTATTAATATATTGTATAATACAGTATATACAACTTTAAGTCTAAAACCTATCCCTAATCTTAAAACTAACTCTAACCCAAATTCTAATAACTAATTTTAATCTTTACTCTAACTCTAATCTTAAAAACTAATTCTAATCTAATTAATTCTAATTTTTATTCTAACACTAACCAATCTTAAGTTTTATATTTTAATCTTAATTTGTATTTATTCTAATTCTAACCCTTTAATTTGTATTTGCTCTAATTCTAATATAAAAATTAATCCAGATAAGTTAACTGATTCTATAAAAAAATAATAACTTACAACCAGAGACAATAACAATGAGAACAACAATATAGATCCAACAACAAACCCAATAGCATTCAAACTTCTATTTGCACTAATAATAGTAATATTAGTATATACATTAACAATCGTAATTATTTGCTACACACAACAAAGATATAAGAAAAGACTTTATAAAAACTACCCAAACTTATCTTACAACCAACAGTACAATCAATCAAGTTGCTGCTAGATGCAAAACTCAACCAACAACAATAACCAAACAACAACAAGTGATCAACTTATTAATCAAAACCAGATAACAATAATCTCAATAACCTTAGTAACTATAGGAATAATAGCTATAGTACTAGCTATAATAATCAAGTGTATACTTAATAAAAGAAGAAAACTAAATAGAAAAAATAATAGACCACCTCAAACCTTCCAAGGAAACAGAACAGAACTTAGAAGACTTGACAATAACAGACCACCACAAATCGACACCCAAATACCGAGTGGATCAAACTTAAGATACGAAATAAATAATCCACAACATCCAGTATTATATTATTAAATATATGTGTCTTAAAAGAAACAAGAAAACCAAAGATAGAAGGAATTTAAGAAATTATAATTATAATCAAAACAATCTACACTTGACAAACCTATCTGAATGAGAAGGACAACTAATAAGTACCTATGCACTACGATATGAATTTGGACCAAACACACCACAAATAGATCGATTATTTGGAACATCATTAAATAATCAACAGTTAAGACAAAGAAATAACAGAAGAAGATAAATGATTTTATTAGCAATACTTATATATTGCACAATAGTATCTGGACAACAATTCTTAACAATCTCAATACCAACTGAGACTGCAACACAATATATAACTCAAACCCAAACAGCAACAGGAACGTATACAACTACTATAACAGAAACCCAAATACCAAGTTATTTTCAAGACCAAAACGTAATAACTTAAGATATAGTAACTGTAGTATCAATCGTAGCAATAATCTTAATAGCAATATATATAACAAGACAACAAGCTTGGAACAAGAAGCAAAAACAACTTGACCTGTTAGAAGCAAGAAAAAACCAAATAGTAAATACTATAGATAATATAATACCTATAACAAATTAAATGTACAAAAGCTTACAAGAGATAGAAGCTGAATTAGATAAACGAATCAGAGAAAACAGAGAAGAGGATCTAATATACCAACAATTGACAAATAGTGAACAAAGAGAATATAACAGAATTAAAATAATTATTGACCAACGAAAATCAGCGGCAAAAGAACTAGTAATAGCATACATAATATTAGCAATACGAAAACAAGAAGACGAAAATTACATTAAAGAAATTGCGACTGCATACCAACAAAATTATAACGAAATATTAGAACAAGTTAACAAGAAATACAAACTGCGAAAAGATTAATGAACCAACCCTGGTTAATAAGACTAACAGATAACCAACTAAGTTTTTGGCTACAGCAATATCCAAAAAGATTATATACAAATAAGCAAATACTGTTAATACAAGCTGAATTTAAAAGAAGATTCGACATCGAAATACAAGCATACCCTCAAATACTAACAACCTTTGAAGTAACGGCCATAAAAAGATTAGTACAAAAATTAGAAGCACTAGAATCAAAATATAAGAAAAAGATACAGAAAGGACATAAAATAATAGACCCGAAGAAAATATTTCCAACACTAGAAGATATACTTACTTATTTACAGCTAGGACATATTTCAACAGATAAAACCTTAATAGAAAAAGGATTAGAACTTGCAAACCTAAACCTAGGAGACTATTATATATTCTGCTTAAACGCACAAATCAAACCTCACTTTATTAAGGAAAAATGACCAAAATACAATTTCCAGACCTCGAGAAGATTAACTTCTTAACAATGATGGGAGGAATGAAATTTAACGGAAAGAATTGAATACAATTTAGAAATACATTCTTTCATGCTATAAAAATATACGTACCAGAAGCATTATTAATACTTAGATACTTCACAGGAGATCCATCTAATGGATACACTAGAATAAATGACAATGCAACAATAGCACAAGACCTAGCCATAACCTGAGAAGACGGAGGACCACAAGGAGCCTTCAATGCTGGATTTCACAAAAGAATATTAGAAAAATTAGCACACTCATGCTTTGAATACAACCAATACCAAGAGTATGAACAACACAAAAATGACTATGTATGTATCATACCATGCGATATAAACGCAGACGCCCAAGGAAGAGGCCAAAGAAGAAGAGCACATGATTGGGAAGCAACATGAGAAGAAAATCCACTAAACAGATTTACAATAAAAGATCCAATAGGACTAGAAGCAGCCAAAGGAATGAACATAGTGTTTAGAGCCAACTGTGACGGAGCAGCAGGACAAGCAAACCTAATATGCGAAAATGCAGCAGCAGATGCAAACGCAAGATCAAGACAAATATCATGGAGACTAGAATGTGATCAAAAATATATAATAGCACAGAATATTATTGACAAACAAAAGGCTTTTCAAGCAATGAGATTTACACCAACATATACACCCGAAGAAGATGAAGCACGCAAATTTAAAGCAGCATTTATTAGAAACAAAGATATTGCAAAAAATGACCAAACATACAAAGGAGGATTACAAGTAATATTAGCAGCCATGATACCACAAGGACGATACGAATATGAAGACTACCAAAGCCAAATGAAACTAATAGATAATGATATCAGAACTACTGAAGCATTTTTTAATGTACTAGAAAGAGTATACGAATACTTTAAAGAAGGAAATGTAGGAAGATACTTTAGAAGCAAATTGGAAAGCAAACAAGCAAATTATCTGAACAAAAGAGAAGCATACAGCAATGAAAAACAATTCGGGAAAAAAGACTATGGAGTAATTAAACTAGAAAATCTTAGATGTTACATATGTCATCGAACAGGACATTATATGAACCAATGTCCACAAAAGGATAAAAACGAAGTCAAAAACAGAAAAGGAAATTATCAGAAAAACAGAGAATATAAAAACAATAATAAATATCCAAAGAAGAACTACGAAAAAGGAAATAACCGTAAAAAAGAAAATTATAACAATAACAACAATTCCAAACCAAGAAGCAAATTCAAAGAAGAATATGAAAAAGCCAAGAAAGAATACAAGGCAAAAGTCAAAAGAAGACTTTCTAGAGATGGGAAAATTGCAATTAAAAACTGAATCAAGAAACAGTTATATGGAGATCAAACTAACAACAAGTACAAAAATAGTTACAAAGACCAAGGAAAACCAGAATTCAAACCTGGAGAATATAAACCAGCAATAACATATAATACGTTTGGACTACCAACCAGCAACGAAAAACCACCAGGAGTAGATAAACCGAAATTCAAAAAATGGTATAGACATTGCAAGACCGATACTCACTCAACTAGAAGTTGTTACAAATACAGACAAGAAGTAGAAGGAATTGAAGACCCAATGGTATTTAACTCTGAAAAGAAAAAATATAGAGAAACATACTCTGTTGAACAAGAATTAGACCAAAACGACTACCAAGAATATTTAGATTATCAAGACTTTGAAGAATTTAAGGAATGGAAACAAGAACAACATTTTGAAGACACAAGCGATGACGAAGAATACCAAGAAATTGCAAACTTTGAGAAAATCAACATACAAGATGACTATTATAATGACGACAACCAAGTCTACGATAACCACTTTTATGGACCCGAAAATGATTATTTCTAAATGGGAGCATGCCCAATACTCATGAACGACTCCCAAACGGACAAGGCTGTATTGGAGAAGACATTCTTAATAATAACAATCATAATTATAGTACAAAAACAGTAACTTATAACATATTTAACCCATGTAATAACAAAGAAATATTTACTTATAATAAACATATATTTAATGGACCTAAAAACACAAGAATGTATTCTGCCGAAAAATATAAAAACCTATTCTTTCCAAAACGAACTATAATGAACAAATTACGACCTAAAGGAGCCAAAGAATTCTACCTAGTAGCATTAATAAACAACATACCCATTGAACTAAAATTAGATGAAGGATCAACAAATACGTCCATGGGAATAAACCACGCAAAGAAACTTGAACTAGAAAGATTAATAGCTAAACTAGCTAAAGCAGAAGCAGTAGGGAGTAATATAGAAATATTAGGCAAATTAGTAGTCTACATCAAGATAAATAAATACCTAACACCACAAGTGAAAATAGACGTCCTAAATACAGATTCAAAATATATCCTCTTAAGCAACAAACATCAAATGATGATGGGAATAACAAAAGACCCTAAAACTCAACAAATCCTTATTAACGAACAACCAATTATAAATCAATATGTAATATTATCAAGACCCAACCGAGCAAACAGTACAACATGTACAAATGGTACAGGTAACGCTTCATTAAGGGATACTGGCGGCTACACCGCTCGTAGTTATACTACCTTCGGCAATATCCTGTCAGACCATCCTGAAGTATTCTTAATCCACCAACCGCTCTCGCGTAGTGATTTTGATTTGACTGTGCCTAAGAATCAAATCATGAAATAAGACAGCAAGAGATGTATAGCGCCCAACGTGTCAAAAGACACCCTCTTAACAAATAATCATCTCAAAAATAACAACAATAATTTATCAGAAAGTCAATGTTGGCCGCTCTCTTTGTCTCCAAAGAGATGTATAGCATCCAATATTAAAAGAAATACCCTAGAAAGAGATGTAATGCCTATTGACACTAAAGAAAACCTCTCACACGACCAACAAAGAGATGTATGGCAAACCAACATCGTACCCATAACTAGCCAAGTAACAAAAGAAAACACACCAAGAAATATAGGAATTAAAAAACCTATAATTGGTTGTTCAAGGCAAAAGTTAAAAAGAATTGATAAAAGAACAAAACATACCAACATCATAGACCCAGAAAAGCTAAAGAAATGGAAAGCTTATCTAGAATACAAAAAGCAAAAAGAATTAGACTTCATCACAAAAGAACAGTTTCTGAAGAAACAGCCAAAATATCAACCGATATCTAAAGGATTTGTAGATGAAAATGCACTACAAATATTCCTAAAAATATGCGAACAAAATAGGAATAGAAAGAAACTTATAGGAATAACAACTGATGGCACTTGGAATGCTATAGTTGAGGCTGTAATAGAAACAGGAGCAAATCTCATACAAACCTTTGTACAATATATACCTGTAAAAGGAGAATTCAAAAATGAGGCATATAGCAACTTTGCGACCCTGCAAAGAGGATTGCCAGATATACAAAATGATATTAAAATCATTCAAGGAAATAAACAAGCACAATTGAAGCTAGTGATACACACTTCTATGGGCTTAACAATAAGTGGTACACTGCTGAACAAACAAGAAGAAATAAACTGGAAAACTAAAAGGATAGTGCAAGAAATACAAAGAGCACATAATATAGGAGCACGAAACTATATACTCTACATAGGGTCAACTAAAAATACAGACCCAAAAGAGATAACCAAGAACCTAAAACATATCCTGCGCCAGACGGCATCAACTGACATAATAATCTTACTTGAAAACTCAGCATCAAATAAATGCTATGGAGCAACATTTGAAGAATTGCTCAAAATAAAGAATAGCATACCAAAAGACGAAAGGTATAAAAAGGATACCGGTAAGGCGATAGACCGGATAAAGTTGTGCTTTGACACACAACATTATTTTGCAGCGGGTGCTGGAAAGAACCTCGAGGAATACCTCAAAGTAATTGAGGATCATAGAAAAGAAATACGACTATTACATATGAACAACGTCGTTCGCACTAGAACGCAAAGAACAAAAACTGGCCAGATGATAAACATTAAACCAACGGTATTCGGAAGTGGACAAGACATCCACGAACACCTGCTAAATGGATAGCTAGCACAAGAAATATTTAAAGAATTAGTACAAAGAATGCATGCAAGTATACTGGAAACACCCAGAAAAACGGACTGGGACAAGAAAGAACAAATAAATGAAGTACGAACATTAAGGTACTATGCAAATGACATATTACCAAGTGACAGAGAGCTCGACAAAGAACTTGAAACAAGAATCAAAGAATTAAATAAATGGGACCCAACTAAAGGATTACAATATGGAGAATTACTATTACATGAAATATATCAATTTAAAGAAGATCCAATAGAATACATAATGAAAGCCATGGCAAACCTGAAGATAAAAAGACAAGAAAAACACCAAAATCCTGAAAAAGAAGCAGAAAGTAAACGACTACTTAATGAGAAAACAGGAAGGATAGTGAGTAAAATAAACAATGTAAGAAACAAATACTCACCAGCAATAAAACTGACTAAAGTACAACAACCTAAAACGCCGATAATAGCAGCGTTCTCAGGAATGTTAAATACAACAAACAGAAATCTCGAAGAAATTAAAAAAGAACGAGAAAAAGGAAAATCAACGGAAATAACTGAAGATCTAGAAGATTTAATGCTAAATATACTGGATATAGAAACCCAATACAATAAAGTAAATAGAATGAACTCAAAAGACATTTATAAAACAATAAAAAGAATCAAAAGTATACCAACCTTACCAGAAGAAGTTAGAAATTACAGAGGAACTAAGAAAGAACAACTTTACAATTTCCTAACTTGGTATAACAACCAGAAACATTATATGAAAGAATCTGTAAAAAAGGAAATAAGGAAGAAAGAAGAAGAATATCAGGTAGATATAAAAAAGACCTTGGAAATGAAACCTGAAGAATTCAGAAAAATGGATGAAATAGACTGACATGCAGTAGTGCAGACACTACTTCTAACATCGGAATTAGAACCTAATAAAGAAATTAGAGAAAGAGCAAATCAGAAGTATCTGGACTTTGCAATGATAGATGTTGAAAACACAGAACCAATAAAACAGATCAATAATGACGAAGACTTACTTGAACAGATAAAGAAAGATTCAGAAAAACGAAAACAATTAGAACAAGAAAAGAAACAAAAAGTAGAAAATATATATGAAACTATAGATAAAGATAGTGACTCAGAAAGCCTATTAGAAGACAAAAGTCACCAAAGAGACTGGGAAAACTTTGAAAACAAACTTGAACATTGGAATAAACCTGAATCAACATCTCAAGCACCAGAACGAAGCAGATTTGAACCACAATGTGACTATCAAATAAAGTACTCAAACTATAACCCTGAACCAGAAAGTGACCAAGTACTGTTCACTGAATAGGACTTTAATAACCAAAGAAAGAAAGCAAACAATGAATCGACAAGCGATTTATCGTACAAAAGTAATTCAACATACAATAGTGATTTGACTAGAGATGATGAAGAAATCATAAGAAAAATATCTCAAGGATTACTAAGCCGAGATGACGGTTCAACATTTAAGGATACGGATAGCATATCTAGTATACTACCGTTAGAACCTAATATACAAAATATAATATTAAACCAGGAAAATACTGAATATGAAGTAGGAGATGATGGATATTTAAGAGCAAAAAATGATACCAATGCAACCCAGGAACAACTTGAATAAGTAGAACAAATTGAACAAGAACAAATTGAACAAGAACAAACTAAATCACCAGCTCCATCGTTTATAAGGAATACACTAAATCTGATAACACCATCATACTTCAAAAAGGATAATACCAAAGATATAGCAAAAAATATAATAAAAGACCAAGCTACAGCTCAGATAAACCAACCAACAAACCAATTTGAAAGGAAAAGAAAAGATTTATTTGAAAGAAGAAAACAAATGAAAACACAAGACTATAGACAAAAATTAGAAGAAGATAAGAATAAACTAAGAGAAGAATATATCAAGATACAGCAAGAACAACAAAAAAATGAAAGACCATCAATAATAACAGAATATAACAAAGATCCTATAGAAATAGGAATAAACCAAGAATCAGACTCACCGTACCTGAGACCAATAACGAATAGACCTGGAACACCTAGTTATAAAGGAAAAACACCAGACTACGGATATGGAAATGAAGATAAAGAAATTAGTATATTGGAAACGAAACCAATAAAAATGGAAAAAGGAATAAAATTGAAGATTCATAAAGAATTAGCATACATACCAAACGAATATAGAAAACATATAATACCTACATTGGGAACTGGAAAACCCTTACGAAGTAACGATCAGCACATATTAGTACTAAATACGTGGACTGCAATTAACATTGATAAAAAAGGAAATTATTTAGTAACAACACCATTGCATATTGCAAAAGAAGGAATATGCATACAAAATGGATTAATAAATGATTGGACAATCAGAATGATTAATTATACAAACAAACCCAAAGTAATACAAAAAGGAGACCATATCGGAAATATAACTGAAATAGATAAAATAAGAATGATTAATGAAATTACAAAAGACTTAAAGAAAATTAAAGAATTTAATGATACGAACAAATACAAATACGACATAAAGATTGGAGAAAAAGAATTAACAGAAAAAGAACGATTAGAGATACTTATTAAAAATACTAATAAAGAATACAGAGAAAGAATGAGACCAATATTCATAAAATATATGGAAATATTCTGAATGAAGAAAGAAAAAGGAACAACATTTAATAAAAAATACTTTGAAAGACTTGGAGAAATAGAATTAGAACTAGACACTCTAGAAAAAGACATACCACAAAACCATAAAGCAAGACCTTTAAGAAATTATTCTGACAAACAAGTAGAACAATCAAAGAAACTATATAAAGAACTTAGTGAATCAAATATAATAGAACCTTCCAGAGCAAGCTGGATAGCACCATTAGTAATAGTACCAAAACCTGATGGCAGTTATAGAGCCACAGTAGATTATACGTTATTAAACAAATACTTGAAAAAAGATCCATTTGAAATACCAAACATACCTGTGATACTTCAAAAAATAGCAAGGCAAAAAATTTTTTCGACCTGTGATTTTAAAAGTGCTTATTATCAATTTCCATTAAAAATGAAAGATAGGGATAAAAGTACTATATACTTTCCAGGTGTAGGAAAGTTTAGATTTACGAAATGTCCAATGGGAATTAGTACAGCACCAGCATATATGATGAGATATATGTTCCAATTATTTGAAGACTTAGATTATGTATATGTATACATGGATGATTTAACTATAGGAAGCCAAACTATAGAAGAACATTTTCAGCATATTCAAATAGTGTTTGAATGTATAAAAAAAGCGGGCTTTACCCTAAAAGCTGAAAAATGTGAATTTATAATAAAGGAAATAATGATATTAAATCATAAAGTACGACATGGACAAATATTACCAAATCAAAAGAAAAAAGAAGAAGTACAAAAAATCAAACTGCCAAAAAATAAGAAAGGCGTACAACAATTTACAGGATCAATGAATTATTTTCAGAGATTTATACCGAAATTCGGAGATATTGCAAGACAATATATGATTTATTGAAGAAAAATTCGAAATTCGAATGGACACAAGAACATCAGAAAGCTTTTGAAACACTTAAAGATAAGGTTTATAATGCGATAGCATTGACATATCCTAAAAAAGGATATCAATTAATAATAGAAACTGACGCCTCAGATAAAGGAATAGGCGCGTGTTTAAAACAAATTAATCCAAATTTAGCACATTACAAAACAAGAAATGCACGAATAAAAGGAACAAAAGATGAAGATGATTACACTAAATCCGAAGAAGAAATTATTGAACTAGCATCACATATGCTTAAACCCAATGAACAATCATGGGGAAGCACACAAAAAGAACTCCACGCAATCTATTTTTATTTAAATTACTGGAAACATTACATCGGATCTAAAAATGTAATTGTACGAACTGATAACACTGGCGTAAGTGATTCATCAGGAAAAATGCCAAGAAACCAGACCATGGAAAGATGGCTTATCAAACTACAAGACTTCAACTGGACTATAGAACAAATCAAAGAAAAAGATAACACAATAGTAGATTGGCTAAGTAGACAAATGGAAATAGATGAAAATGGCAAACAAATTGTGAAACTAAATATTGGAATAATAGATAAAGATATAAAAATGCCCAACTTGCCCAAGACACAAGATACTCGCAATAACTTTAACCCGAAGACACCTAACAAAACTATCACCAAATGAATACATTACCCAAAAGCTAAAAAATAACTTGTAAACAAAATAGATAAGAAAAATACCTGATGGAAGCAACTAGACCAATACCACCATATCACAAACTCAAAGAGATTTTTGAAGACGAATCAAAATGTATAGAGTATTTAATGACCAAAGAAATAATACCACAAGAACTTAAGTGCCTAAATATTTATTGTTTACGGCAAATGACCTTAAGTGAGAAAACTTTTAAGTACCCAAATCGTGATTGTAGAATGAAGATATCATTGTTCAATGGCACAATCTTTTCAAATGCCAAACTACCTTGTAACCAAATATTATTGATAGGATACTACTGGATTACTAAGATCAGAAGAAAACAAATCAATATTTTAACAGAAATATCGTCACCAACGATAACTCACTGGACCAAAATATTTAGAACATGTGTAACTCAGGAGATAAGAGAATTTGAAAACAAAATAGGAGGTAAAGATGATATTGTAGAATGCGATGAATCAATATTCTACAAAGATAGGGAAAATGATAAGACAAACAAAGTATGGGTATTCGGGGGAATATCCCGAAAAACAAAAGAATTCTTTGCAGAAGTAGTACCAGATAGAACATCTGAAACGATATTAAACCTAATCCAGAAATATATACACCCAGAATCAACGATCTATACAGATATGTTCAAAAGTTATGACAAAATATATGAACGGCTGAATATTGCACACCACCAGATAAATCACAGCAAAGGAATGACCATGACAGAAATAGATGAAAGATCAAATGAATTAAAAATAATGCACACAAATAATATTGAATGCACTTGGCGAATTCTTAAAGAAAACATACCAGGTCAGAATCGAAATAAGAAGGATTTACTTTATCACTTATTTGAACACATCTTCAGACGCCAAAATAAACAAAGATTATGGGACGCGTTTATCGAATGTTTACGCGACACAAATAAAGAACTCATTGATGAAATACAATCAACAAGTAATACGAATTCAGATTAGGAATAAACTATTGATAAGAAATAATTATATAAAGACACCCCGAACAACTGACCAAAGGACATTCAAAACATAATGGAAAAACCACAACAGACCCTAAATGGTAGACACCTAACACATAATCAAAGAACTAAAAAGGAACCAAAGAATAATTAAGAAACAAATCGAACAATTCAAGAATTCAGTACCCAGAATAATTACCCCAAAAGAATTTGAACTTGAAGAAATTGAATCTTGGATACAATCGAGGATCAATAACCCAAACACTATAACCTGCTTGACCCTTACAATATTACGAAGTAAATTAAATAATCAGGATTTATATGACCAACTGTCAGGAACGGACAAACCACTTGGAGACTAAACTAGAACCGAAATCAAGGAACTATAACATAACCATTATTAAAAAATCAAAAACAACAGCTGTATCTTATACTGAAGAACGACAAGAAATTGAAAGCAGTTTACTTTATAAAGAATTTAACAAACCAAAGAATAAACGAGACCTCGAAGACCTTGACAAATACTTAATTATCCTAGGAGCGATAGCCCTCGCAGAACAGAAACCAGAAGACTTTGAACATAGATACTGGCTAGATAACTTAATACAAAGACAATTACGAAGTGGATTGGAATTAAAACCAGACTATAACCTAGCGAACTTCAGATCAATTATATTGACACCAATAAAAACTGAAGATATTAAAAAGGAAATAAACCAAAAACTCTGAGAATTAAAACAAAAGATATTTGATCACCAAAAGAAATAATTATTGAATGAACAAAGCAGAAATAACTGGAAGCAAATTAGGAGTATTAATTGATAAAATAATCAAAGAACTCGAAGAAGACCGAAACCCAGTCAACGAAGAAAAGAAAGAAAAAATCCTAACAGAAGTAAAAAACACGAAGTCAGAAGAACCAACTTTCAAGGAAGAACAAAATAGGATAATAAAATATTTGAAAGAAACAACATTTGAGGAACCAGATAAAATTAAAAATTACTACAAGAAAAATGAGATTATAAACTGGTTTAGAAAACAGCTCTACGAAGACGTGCTACACCACTGTATCGACTGTAATATAGGCTGGAGATATGGAAGTCATAATTCACATAACTGTAATTACGATAACAAACCAGGAAAAGAACTTAGAAATCTTTACAAAATAACAATTCAAGAATTTGAAAAGCTAATAGAAGAAAGACCTTTTATCATTACACCAAAAAGAACAGAGAAGTTATTAGAAGAAATAAATCAACAAGCTTTTAAACCAATAAGACCTTACCCAACCTACATTGAGGAAAGAGAAAAAATTATCAGGGAAATAACTGACCTAACAATAACAAAGCTTATAATCCTAAAAAACGAAATTGAAGAAAAACTAAAATGAATTCAAACGAATCTAACGGATGGACTCAGCAAGGACCAAAATACTGTAAATGGTGCGACGAACATGTTGAAGAACTCGAAAAACATAATTGCAGAAAAGACCAAGAATTCCAGGAAATCTCGAAAGAAGAGTTTAATAAACCAATCATTGAAAGACTGTCAAAAGTATTCAGCGAATATACTAAAGAAGAATTTAACAAGGAATGAGAAGAAATCCTCAGAAGACAAAGTACGCGAGAATTCACGTGTGGAATCTGCCACAAAAAAGGACATACAAATAGATATTGTCCGGATCAGGAATGTTTTTCATGTAACAATAAAGGCCACCAATCGAGAGATTGTCTAAATAAAATCAAACCAAACCAATCAAATAATAATCCGAGAAGATCCCAAAGCGACCCGAGTAACCAAAACTGGAATAATTAGCAAGGACCCTCTAGAAGAACGTTCACTTGCAGATACTGTGGAGAAAACCACAAAAACGAAAATTGCAAGATACATAGAGTCCTAAAGGAGAATGGAAGCTTATTATGTGGATACGACGCAGAAGAAATCCTATTGAAATGGCAACAACATACAGAATGGGCTTCATATTCAAAAAGCCGAGACCACCACTACTGTTGCAACTGCAGCAAACCCACAGTATCTGTAAACCTATACTATATACAAGGATTGTACAAATCACCCAGAACTTTCGAACCAGTATTCCTACCGGAGCAAATGATATGTAACGGATGTTACAGAGAATATTTTGAAGAATTGGATATAAGAGATGAATGAGCTCAAAAATACTACCAAACCCTAGGCCAAGGAAGACTTGTAAATTGTTATTTATATGGAAAACAGAACCTCAAAAGAAAAATGGAAGATTGGCAAGCGAGATTCTTTTGCAGCAAAGAAGAGAAATTCGCAAACCTCATTTATTTACTTGAAGAACAAATTACTGATGACAGGGAAATAATGAAGAAAATTCAAACATATACTAGGAATCAAACAAATGTATACTATAACCTAAATGAATCGAAAATCAGAAGAATATACAAGTATATGAATGAAACAGATTAGTTAGACCACAACAACCCAAATTTCAAAATTATTATCAACGAACAAGAAGATGACATAATAAACTACCACAGATATTATCGAGACGGAGATAGAGAAATAACTGAAGAAGATTATGAGGATGATACAGATAGTGATACTGAAAGATTAGCATCAGGAATAGCCAATTCAATGATTATTAATACAAAAGAAAAAGAAAAACTAGAAGATTATGAAGAAGAGATGCGAATACAAGCATAGAATCTTTGTAAAGAATGCTTAATGCCAATATCAAAAGCACCTGAAGAAAACAGGGATTACCGAAATAAGTACTGCCTAGAATGTCTAACGAAAATCGAAAAGAAAACAATCAACCTCAACAAAGAACCTGAACAAAATGAACAGATGGAAACAGGAAATGAAACAGACCAGGAAACGAAAATGGAACTAGAAAATATCAGAAAAGAAATGGAAATGGAAAAATATATTGAAGAAAAACCAGCTAAAATAACCAGTAAAAAAAGACTACAAAACACGATACAATGGCACGGAGAAACTGAAGAAGGATATGAAAGTAATGACGAATTCAGATATGAAATACAGAGTTCTGAAGAATTAGACGAATACATCGAAGAAATCACAAGGGACGAGTACCAAGAAGGCATATCTCAAAATGCCTCAGACCTAAGAAAATTAACACTAATAACCCTAAACTTACAACGAAAAAATGAAGGAGAACAACAATATAGATCCAACAACAAACCCAATAGCATTCAAACTTCTATTTGCACTAATAATAGTAATATTAGT